GCGTGCCTGTAATCCCAGCTACTCAGGAGGCTGAGGCAGGAGAATTGCCTGAACCCAGGAGGCGGAGGTTGCGGTGAGCCGAGATCGCGCCATTGCACTCCAGCCTGGGTAACAAGAGCAAAACTCCATCTCAAAAAAAAAAAAACAAAAAACAAATATATTTTCCAAAATTAAAAAAAAGAGCACAGTTGTCTTATATTTTTACAACTTTAATGTCTGGCTTAATCAAAGACAGGTTTTCATAGCTGCTTCCACATTCACTTTGTTTTTTAAAATATTGTTTTAATTGAAGTATATGAAGCAAATCCAGCCTCACACAAATATACAGTTGGAAAAGGGAGAAATATTTTAAAACTTTCAGATAATTATGGATATTATGGTTTGATACACATCAAAACTCAACAAGTGATAGTTTCTTAAAGGTTAATTGTAATATTGATATGAAACTATATCAATGGTTACATTTAAATCCTCTAATCTATCTTGCAGTTTAAACAGCTCTTTGTAATATTAGGCATTGAACATCTGGAAAGTTTTGGTTCACTGACACAAGCAGATCTTCCAAATGTTACCATATTTCATTTTCATTATAGAGTATGCAAAAACTGCATTCATTAATATCACCACCAATATCCTCAGGAACATCTTTAAGTATTGGAAAGCTGTCAAGCCTACGGTGGTGGATATAAGTTTTGTAAAATTGGAATATTTCCTTGTAAGCACAAATTTTATTTTTAGCAACAGATACTGTCAGTTGTTTACCTTGAAGTGACAGTCACTTTGTTAAAGAAAAAGTCAGGCAAATGCCCAAATTTGAATAATCATGGTTTGTTGGTCAATCATTCTTTCAAGTAAAATGGTGCCTAAAGGGAAAATCTAGTTCAGCTCCCAAGTCACACAACAGCACTAGTGCATTTTTCCTCTGAACAATTGCTGTGTTCTATGATGCAGAAGAAAGACATTCAGCAGTGGAATAAAATTAACAGTGTTCATCAAGGATATTCCTCAATAAAACTCTGGTGTTTTGCTTTTTTTCCTGAGTATATGGCGGTTAAGAAAACAGTAACTAGTCCAGTTCGCTGTGCCTTGGTTCACAGCAAGGCACAAGCAGTTTTACTCACCTTTGTTTTTGTACCATCAACACAATGAAACAGGCAAATTTAACATCTTAGCATTATTATAAATATTATTTTGAACTTGCTGAAAGGAGGTGAAAGGGTCTTGGGGACCTCTCCCAGTGGTCTCAGTACTTTTAAGAACATTTTAAGAAACTTTGTAAGATTCACTTCAACTTCCTGCCTCTCAATTGGCTTCCAAAGAGAAGAGGAAGCTAAACCATGCATGCCCCGCTCTCTTTCGCAATCTCAACAATCAGAATTCCTTTTCCCTCCCCTCTAGAAAAGTAAATTAGGGTTCCTATCAGTACTGAAAATCCTCTCAGTTTATTATCATTTACAATACGTTGCTAATAGTTTCTTAAATTACGAAGTTTAAAGCTGCTTAAAGCAGTCACCCTGGGCCAGGAGGGGATGCCTGATCCACTCTTAGCAATTGGATGCTCTTCTCTGGGAATCTGACACAGGTATAAGTCAATCTTGTCCCCCAAAATAGTAGATACTTGCCTTAGAGTTGCCTAACCAATAGGTCTAGGGAAGTAGTCCCTCCTGGAGCAACGAAGGTCTGCCCTGGGGCAGTTGCCTTCTTGGCACTGTCTCCATCTTCTGGAACCAGCATCAGAATTCAATTTTGACCATCCAGCCCCATGCTAGGTAGCTACGGTGAAACCGCTGAGCAAAGTACACTTCCTCCCCTGTGTGAACAAAAGAGCCAAGCTGAAAAATCAGACCATCTTTCCTCTGAACAAGAGACCCAAGATGAAAAATCAGACCATCTTTCCTCTAATCTGAATCTTGAGCTATGCGACTTGGAGGCTGAAAACGAATGATCATTCATTCTAAAAGCAGCCCCAAGAGGCTGTCTGGTAGCTCTTGCCATCTAATTCCTAGTTCTGTCATAGACCATAGTTCATTCACTTTTATTACTGTTGAGACATCCCATATCCACCCAATAAAATCCCTTTTGCTAACATCAGCCAAAATCTGTTTCTGTTGCTTGCACCAAATGACTCTAATTGATATAGCCCCAAAGACAAGTTGCATGTTCTATCCTAGAAGGCACAAACTGCTTACAATTCCCCAAATGACAATTTTTCAGGCTTGAAAATGTTAAGATCCACCAGGTACCCATTATATTTCCTCGAGTCTCAGGATCTAGGATCTAGGGTATGCGCATGTTTTCACTGCGTCTGCATTCATTTCCATACTGCCTATCATCAGGCCACAGTGGGAAGCCTTTCCACAGTCATTTTCTGAGGAATCCATGTTATTTCTGAGATCTGAGATATAACTTTTTAATTATTTGATAGGCCGGGTGCAGTGGCTCATGTCTGTAATTCCAACACTTTGGGAGGCATTAGCAGAACTGCGTGAGTTCAAAACTAGCCGGGGCAAGATAATGAGACTCTGTCTCAAAAAAAAAAAAAAAAAAAAAAAAAAAAAAAAAAAAAAAAAAAAAAAAAAAAAAAAAAAAAAAAAGAAAAGAAAAAAGAAAAGAATAATTATTATTTGATAGAGGAAACATGGTTTGCTGGACTTTCATATCATGCTTTTAGCACAGGGTATGCCGGGAAAATGAGAATTTATGCATTGATGACAGGGAAGACTGAGGCCAAATAAATCCACTAGGTTATTTAAGCATCATGGAAAGCACCAGCCAGAGAAGCCTGAGATGTGACACTCCCATTAAACTATTATTCTGATTGAGCCAGCCAGTCTTTGTGTATGTAATGTCTCTGATGACCCTCCACGGTCAGCATTATTAAGCTTCTTATCACTGAACAGAGATTGGAAATATGCTATATGAAGTTCAAGGCCACGAGCCTACATGCTGGGGTCACAAACAGATAGGTAAAGGATCAGGCACGTAGCAAAATAAAAATGGCAGACTGGTGGGATCAGTGACCAAACTGAAGAGCTCATGCCTTATTTTAAGGGAGGAGGCCAATACTCCACTCCTCAGACAGTTGGAAGCTGCCAATAAAAAGGAATTGTGGGCTGGATTTGACCCGTGGGCACCCAGTTTGTAAACACTGGTCTAAAAGGTATCTGGAAAGAACAAACACAATACTGCATTTATTCAACTAAACTCCACGTGTATTTGTGTGCCTTGTCAACACTTTCCCTCATTCAATGTTCATAGTAGCCCCACCACATGGGTTAACCTAATTTTTCACTTGTAAGAAAAATAAGGTTCAGACATCTTAAATGCCTACCTGCTATGGTTTGGCTGTTTCTCCACCCAAATCTCATCTTTAACTGTAGTTCCCATAATCCCCACGTGTCGTGGGAGGGATCCAGTGGGAGGTAACTGAATCATGGGGGTAGTTACCTCCATGCTGTTCTCATGATAATGAGTGAGTTCTCATGAGATCCGATGGTTTTATAAGGGTCTTTCCCCCGGCTTCACTCTGCACTTCTCGTTGCTGCCGCCATGTGAAGAAGGATATGTTTGCTTCCCCTTCCACCATGATTGTAAGTTTTCTGAGGCCTCCCCAGCCCTGTGGAACTGTGAGTCAACTAAACCTCTTTCCTTTTTAAATTACCCAGTCTTGAATGTGTCTTCATTAGCAGTGTAAAAACAGACTAATACACTACCCGATGTTACATAGCCAATAAGTGATTTTACATGACTTTATTCTCAGGTGTGTCTAAAGTCCTTGTTTTTTCCATCGTAAACCAATGGCCTAAATGTCTACATTGTATAAGTTGATTTTTTTTGGCCTAGAAAACTTTTTAAAAAGTTTCAATTCATTAAAAACATTAAATTATCAAGAATTGTCACACAAAAATCTGGATTTCCAGCTTTGGGGGAAGATAAAATACTGGGTTCTCTAGCAACTCTGTAAATGGTGGAATATCTGTCAGTCTTGGATGTACAATTCCCATTGGCACATCCACAGAAGGTGGGCGGTAGCTTTCCCCCTTCAGTGGGGCCAGGCTTGCCCTATCACATCCTACTGACTCACATCAGCCAGTTTCATGCCTGACTTTACTTGCCTAGCCCTCATGGATATTTCAGTTTGTCCCCTTCCTGCCTCTGTCCAGCATGTGTTTTCATCCTAGACAAAAGGAAGCTATTACGTTATCTTTTAGCATCCCTGTGCAGAATGTCTGGGAACTGTTATGAAGCATATACTGTCAAATGAAGTACAGGAACTTTTCCAGTGGGGTTTGTCTGAATTGTGCCCCTGCAGCAATATTTAGGATTTGAATACTACATTAATCAAGGTATTTGAAATCAGTATGTTTTTCCCTTTTGCTTTCTGAACAAAAAGGAATGTACATCTTTATTCAGGCTTTAGTCTTACAAATAGCCATTTATTACAAGCCTCACTGAAGGAGGCACAGAACTAAACTGGTAGCACACATGACTTTTTGGAACTTGAAGCCAAGTCAGAAATCTGCCACTCTAGCACTTGTCAACTTCGAGCAAGCAAAACCAACGTCCTGTCTGTTCACCAATCACAGATTCTAAAAGCTAACAAAGTCACCTCAAATCATGTCTAATATCCCAAGGTTGAGCTTTAAAGTACCAAGGATCATTTTGATCTGCACAAAATGTGCGTTTTGGGCTTATAGGCAAAAAGAAAGAAAAATATATATATATATATATATACACACACACAAACACACATATAAATACACAGACACACATATATAAAAACATACAAATGTTATCAAATGAAATAATTCACTAATGACTGGTTTTGCCTCATTTTTCCAAAGTCTTTCTTGACTAATCCAATCTCACCCTTATACCACTTCTTCTCAATGGTCATGTATTCAGTCTGCATTATGTTATTTTATACATGTGGATACGTTAGCTTTTAGAATTGAATTGTGGAACATAAGTGCCAAAGGGAACTTAAAGAATCATTTAATCTAAGCCTTTCATTTTATGGATGAAGAAACTGAAACCCAGAAAACTTAAATGATTGCCCAAGGTCACAAAGACAGCTGAGAAAGGGCACATTTAACCCCATTCCATGGTCTTTACACTCCAATGTGCATCTGTTTATTATGTATCCTCCCAAATATACTCTGAAAATGAAGTGGCCTGGTTATTATGTCTGTAATTTACTTTTAAATACGTTAGCTCAGATAGTGTGACATAAATGTATGTGTTTGTTAGTCTTTATACTCTAGGGACAGCTGGTTGCCCTAATCAAGAATTCACAGCTAGCATTTAATCAAAATGCCACACACCAGAGAGGACTATCACAAGGCTTTAGCTACCTTCAATCAACAACAGAGGCTCTGCTAATTATAATAAATGCTATGAATAGGGTTTTACAAGTGAAATTAGTGACTTGTTAATTAGCATAATGGATTCTATAAATGGATTGCCATTAGTGAAACTGGTACAGTTCAAGATAAAATGTTTTTAGAGATACTCTCCAACTTATCACAATTAGGGTGAGTCCTTCACCTTTGCCTGTAAGAATGGCACCCAGGGCTAGAATAACAAACGATTCTATGTCCAGTCCTATTTCAGAGGATTCTGGTTGCCCAGTACAGCTATAGAGTTAGCTGAATCTTGCCTCTAGTTGGGGTATCTGCCTCAATGAATCCTTTATATGTGGTATGGTTAGAGCCCCTAAAGAAAAGAGGTCTGGGACTTCCCAAGAATATAGAACAGGTTTTATGAACTGTTCCTGAGCCAACTTTTTAATACATGCTTATTTAATAAATGTCTATATGTATGTAGAATTTGGCTGACAATTCACTTTTAATATAAACTACTTGTGGTGAGATTGTCAAGAAGCATTCACTGTCACTTACCTCTAAGATTGATGGCTATTGACATCTACCAGAAAGATTCTAATAATTGTGAATTACTATTATGAGTTCCTATTATTATTGTGTCCCTGAAAAATTTGCATGTTGAAGTCCTAACTCCCAGTACCTCAGAATGTGATCCTATTTGGAAACAAAATCTTTGCAGAGATAATCAAGTTAAAATGAGGTCGTTTTTAGAGACAGTGACACAGGAAAAATACCAGGTGAACATGAAGGCAGAGGTGGGCTGATGTGTTTACAAGTCAAGGAACACAAAGATTGCTGGCAAACCATCAGGAGCAAGGGGAGAGGCAGGGAACAGATTCCCTCTCACAGCCCTTAGAAGGAGCCAACCTTTGCCAACACCATGACCTGGACTTCCAGTATCCAGAACTGCAAGACAACTGTAGCACTGCTGTTTACATCACCCACTTTGTGGTACTTTTTTACGGTATTCCCAGCAAACTAATCTAATAAACAAATGGGCTGAGGTCTGTTTGTAAAACAGCTTCAATAATTGTTTGAACTGATATGTCCAGTATCACAACAGTCACAAATAAGTACTAACTGTGTAATTCCCAAACATTTAATTGCATAAAATTGTACCTGTGCTTAAAAATTTATCCAACAAACTTTAGAATGGAAGGATGAGGCCCACACTACCTGACCCCACGGTCAATGTCCCAAACACATTTTAGTCAATTCCATTGTGTTCATTGGCTTACTACAAGAAGAGAAAATGTAAGCCAAAGGGAGCCAGGGACATCTCAACAGGGTGTTAGCAAGGACTCATAAGGTCTGGGCTTGTGGAAGTGATTTGGGGAAAATTTTAAGGAAATAGAACTTTGCTCTTAATTGGATGCTGCAGGAAGCAGGGGTGACTCCATTATTGGATATGTTAGTGATTCTCATC